TTGGGACCCTTCAAATTAAAGAGGAATTAAAACCAGACCTCCACTGGTTATAAATCAAGATGGTGTCATGACCTCTGTATCTGAAATGGATCCTTATTAGCTATCGTCAAATTACTCTATTTATGAACTTCAAAAAAGAGAGAAGAAAAAAGACTACTCTACTCTATTTATGGCGATAACTATTTACTTTCTTCGAGCAGCTGACGCACAGGCAGAGGTAACTATTTCATATATATATATATATATACACACACACACACACTTACTTGTTCTATCCCTCTTTATTCGTTGTTTCATGACAAGAACACGGGGTTAACGCGAAACGAAAGCGGCAACAATTTTTATCAAAAACAAAACAAGGAAAATGGGGTCGCTTGATCAGATGGTGCGCTGAAGCAGCTTGAAATAGGGTTGATTTTTAGTTTTTTAATACATGAATAAAAGTCAAGTCAAGCTCCTCTACCAAATCCAATTTCATCATTTTTGACAAATATCATTTTGAACCTAAACTCTTCTCGTAAAGGAAACCCTTCGCCTTGAATTTTTGCCATATTTTTTGTTTAACTTGGCATCACAGTATGGTCCCAATTTATAACACAAAAGGTGAAGGTATCTAGAAGGCAACTAGATAGGTGGCTTGTTTTTAAATAAACAATAAAAATTCAAAAATGATGTATTAACTCGACTTGGTTTAATAATTGCAATTAATTTAACAATGCAATTAAACAAATATAGATGATAATAGTAAATAAGCCAAACTACAAAAAATATTGCTATGATCAAATAAAAAAATGAACGTTTTCTAATATCATGGAAAGATATTCTTTCAATATTTAATAACAAAGCAAGTGTTAAAGGACATAATTTCTAGAAAGAAAAATTAAAAAAAATAAAGTTGAATTTCTAGTAAACCAAGTGTTAAAGGACATAATTGAAAGAAAAATTAAAAAAAAAAAGAGATAAAAATCCAACCCAAATCCACCCGAGTCAACCTAGCAACATATGACCTAGTCATGAAACAAAAATAATTCCATAGAAATTAAATTAAATAAAACAATGAAGTTCTAATATCAAACAACACAATGTTGAATGGCAAAACTAGAAAAAAATCCAATCTAAAAAATACAAAAAAAAAAAAACATGAGCAAACCCGCTAAAACCATGACCTGAAACATGAGATCTAGAAAACCCCATAGAAAAGAAAAGAAAATAAATTACAAAACTCAATCCCTAACTAATCCGATGTTGAAGGATAAAAAAAAATTAATTTCAAAAAAATGATCTAAATAAAAGGTCACAGTCAACTCAAGTTACTCTTCTAAATTTATGAAATATTTTATAACACTGGAACTAACCCTACAGAAAACAAACCCTAAAACTCATGAAAACAAAGTTCAATTAATAAAATATCAATGGATAAAATTGAAAAGAAAAAAATCAATTAAAAAATAATATAAAAACAAAATAAATAAAAACCAAAAGAAAGATGATCAAATTTGATATAGAAATAAAATTGAAAAAACAATTAAATTAAGAAAATGATAAAAAAAAAGACTAAATTAATAGCAATTAAAATAATAAGAACTAAATTATAATATAAAAATAAATGAAACTAAATATTAAAAAATAAATTTTTTTTAAAAAAATCAATTAAAGAAAGTATTAAAAAAAAAAAATTGATACCAAAACAAATAACATGATAACTTTTAATTTTGGCATGGCAACGTGATTCCTTAAGGGAGGGGGGAGAAATGGGGGGAAAGGAAAAAAGATAGTTGTAGCCTAATTGAGACGCTGCCATTGGCATGCATAATACAACAGGAAATAGCTTGGTGGAAGGTTTTGAACACTGCTGTGGAAGCTAGCTTTTAGCCCTCGGGAGACGCCGCATGCATCTTCCAAATATCATCGGAGTCTCTCATACGCTAGCATCTGCGTTGTACTTGCCAACTAATTTTCTATGTACATTTACCCCAATCGTTATTGTTTTAATTTTAGTCCTTTAACATTTAATTATTTTTAAATTAGCTTAATTGTGTATTGTTTTACAAAATCAAGCATCAACAAAGCATAAAAAATTCCTCTTGCTATTGCAATATCCCCGTATGAAGACAAACAAAACAAAACAGCAAGTAAAATCTTAATTAAAGAAAGTCCAATATGTTAGGATCAAATTGAAAAACAAATTAAGAGACTGAATTGTATAAAGGGCCTAGAACTTTTTCTTTGCCCATCCAAAAAAGTCCTTGAACTTGGCAAAAAAACGGCTGAATATTTTTGTATTATTTAAATTTAGTCCATAAAATTATAATTCGTTTATAAATCAAGAACTAAATAAGCGACATAATATTTTTTTTTTTTATATCTAGAGATCATCATATATACATGCATGGAAACCATTCACCGAATATATATCTAGAGATCATCATATACATGCATGGAAACCATTCACCGAAACTAATCGCAAATATATAAAAGTAATGTCAAAAGACCAAATAAAAGTAATATTTTGTATCTGCTCACATGTCACAGTATATATTACTGAAACCTCTTATTTTTCCATGTGCCATATCCGCCCATTCAGGCAGAACTATATATATGTCTTGGAAAGCTGTGTATACTGCTTAAAATATTACAGAAATCGTTTTGGATAACTATATAAATTACGTTAAGTAAAAACACTATAAAATTAATGTCTTTCAATTTATGCAAAGGCATTGTCGAAGTGTCCTTAAAACAAAACTTTACATATTGAGTTCCCCTGGAAAAGCAAGATACTCTTTCGCCGTAATGTGCTGTTTTCTCCCCCATTTATACACCCGATGGCCTCTGTCTTCTATCTATTTATTAGTTTATTGGAATGTTGAATGGATCCTGAGCTACACAGCACAGATAGTTTTCCATAATTTTGAAGGTAAACTTCAGGTGAATCTCGAATTTTAACACTGTCGGTCTGCCCCCGTAACCTTTTGATACAGTAAAACCCAACTTGGACAGCGGCTAGGCACCCTTCTTCTTCATATGTGGCCCAGAGCCTGGAATATTGCAGCAGAGTTGGTGAATGTCAAGAGCACCTGGATACAGCGTGCTTCAGTGGGCGGCCACTGACTCGAGAACTCTTGTCAAATTTTCAATAAAAGTACAGAGCATGTTATCTTCATTTATATTTATGTTTATATATTTTAAAAGTATTTTAAAAAAATAAAATTTTTTATTTTTTTATTTTTTTTAAATTAATATATTTTTAATGTTTTTAAATTATTTTAATGTGTTAATATCAAAAATAATTTTAAAAAAATAAAAAAATATTATTGATATATATTTTAATAAAAAAATTATTTAAAAAACAATCACAACTATATTTTCAAACACACTTTAAATATAAAAATATTAAATATTTATCTGAATCTAATGTTTTATGATACAGAATGATTTATGATATAAATTTAAATTATTTTATGTTTTCAAAATAGTTTTAGATATTTGAATTAGATAAGAAAAATAAAATATTGTTTATTATTTTTTAAAAACTTATATCATATATTAAAACATTAGAACATGATTATTCAACTTAAATTAAATTATCTAAGTTTTAAGAAATATGACCGTCTGGTTCTACATTCAAGTTTGTTCACACTATCCATCAATGTGAACAAACACTTCCAAGTTGACAGCAGAAAAGACACTTCCAAGTTGACAGCAGAAAAGAAGTGGTTGACAGCAGAAAAGACACTTCCAAGTTGACAGCGGAAAAGGTTTGAGTGTTCTTGGATTAGACGTGCAGATGTTTTTAGAGGGTATTTTATTTAAAAATGTATTAAAAAATATTTTTTTAATTTTTTAAAATTTATTTTTAACATAACTCATGAAAAATATTTAAAAAATATTATTTTAAATTAAAAAATAATTTTTAAAACAAAAAAAATCTACTCCCGAAGTTATATCTTCCATCTTTTGGGGCCACAAGGTAAAAAGAAATCAAATACGATACTTCACCACTAGCTACTTATTTATATTAAATGGCCATCTTACGAGGGAGTGGTTAAGCAAGAACAGTTGTCAAGGAAGAAAGACCAGTCAATGAAATTCATATTAGCATTATTATACTAATCAATCTGGGAAAGTTCAAATTATTGAAAACAAAAGGTAATTGCCATGACAGTAGCAGGCTGGCCTCATATTAAACCCATAATCGTGCAGACCTTTTGTCTTTCACTTGCTTCTACCATCCTGTATATACGGCTTGTAGACGCACTCAATACAATTCATAGAATCGGTAGTGTTTGAAATTATACTAGAAGAAACAAATCCTATTTTCTCTGCTGGTGGCAATGATTATTACTATATTTATTTATTTATTTCTCTACTTCTCCGAGTGCAAAATATTTCATATTTTTAAGGGTTATTTGTTAAAGTATTTTTTATATGAAAATAAATTAAAATTATATTTTTTTTAAATTTATTATTAATATTAATGTGTCAAAACATCTGAAAAAACAAACACACACTCTGAATCGCTGACTCTTCGATGAGACACATGCTCCTCCGACCCGACTGTTTCCTAGGTTTGAGAGGAAAACTCCATCTATGAGGATAAGCAGAAGCTCTTTTTTCGATTAATTAACTCAAAGAGCTTCGATTTTGCCTTTCATATAGGAGTACACGAGAGGCAATCAAGTTTCGATGTTTTATATATTAAAAAAAAAGACATGATGGACATCTTCTTCCATTTGCTACTATAAAAGTAACCATACATTCTTCACAATGAATGTTTTATTGCATGGCAAGAACTGATCCAAAAATATTATCACCACCAACTTATAAAAAACAAAAATAATAATATAAGATTAGATTATCGTACACTGACATGATAAGTATTTTTTATAACTTACGAGCAATTCATTCAATCCACAACTACAATGAGAACTCATTCTTAAATGCAATCATTACTCGGAGGAATATATATATATATATATTTCATCAACAAAAACCTGTCACAGTTCTAAAGCAAAAACATTTGAGGTGGTGCTATAGATTTCCATTGATCAAGGTTCATGTTCATGTTAGATGTGTCCCATCCATTTTTCCTACGTCCTAATGCAGTTAAGCTAATATCCTGATTGTTTGTTAAAAAACAGTTTTTTTAAAAGAAATGAATTTTAAAAAAGTAAATTATTTTTTTATATTTAATAATATAATAAAAAAATAATTTCCAGTGTTTAATTATATTATAAAAAATAAGCTTAAAAAATAATTTTTAGTGTTTAATTATATTATAAAAAATAAGCTAAAAAATAATTATAAATATTTTATTTTTTCAAATTTATTAAAATAATAAGGAATAAATTTTACAAATTAAAAGGTTGGATGA